ACTAAGAAATATGTAATTTCGTTGAAAAGTAAATTAAAGCATTTGACATCAATTCAAACGTCAACCAATGATGAACATTTGTAAATAGGTTTAATGTCAGTAAAAATCCTTGAACTTTTTAAAAATAGTCATTATCATCCCTCTACTGAAAAACAGTTCATAATAATCCTTAAACTTTGGTGAGGAGGCCAAGTGTCATTCTTTTGTCAGCGGGCATCTTGACGCCGTCCAAAAGTTTGTTAAGCTCCCCATTGAGTTCAATGGTGTTTCCAATGTGGCGTAGTTGATGTGGTACGAACTTGGACCTTTTTTTATTTTATCTTAAGTGTTCATATAGAAATAATTTTTTTATATTATTTTTTAATATAATTTTATGTGTCATTTAAATTATTAATTATTTTTATTTATTTAAAATCTATAATATTTAATGCATTTAGCATTTACTTATTTGAGTAGAAACAGAATATTTTTTTTGGGCAATGCTATAAGAGCCAAATCGGTCTTCCAAGCCAATTGGTGCCTATAGTTTTTTTATTTTTGCTTCTTAAATATAAAATTTTAAATTTTACTTTTTGGTCCAGTAATTTTAATTTTTAAATTATTAAATACTTAAATTTTTAAATATTAAACCTTAAACCTTGAAAATATAAACATTAAGACATCATTAAACACTAAATTTGAAAAAAAATCTAAACCCCAACGTTGAAAAATATATAACTCAAAAAATCTAAATTCTAATTTCATAAAATATAGAATTCAACAAATTTAAACCTAGACACTCTAAATATTGAACCCTAAAAAATCTAAACTCTAACTAACATCCTAAACATTGGCTAATTTTATAATCCAAACTACACTAAATTACAAAACAAAACTTATTTTCTTTGTAGTTTTTTGTCTTCAAATATATAAAATGAATTATTTCCCTAGTTTCAGATTTGACTGATTCCATATATATTTTGTTCAATCCGGTTCAATTTGTTCTCCGGTTAGTTCTCCACAATTTCACTTGAAGCATGAAGTTTTGAGTTTTTTGGCATTGAAACTAATGAAGAATGATGTTGGATTAAGATCTGGGTATGTGGATTAGAGGGAGAAGGCAAAGATCTGGGTTCTTGCGGGAAAAATTGATAAATTGCAGCACTGATGAGTTCTTTATTTTTATTTTTTTATTTTTTTGTTTTTAATGAATTTATAGAGGATTGGTTTTGTAGCAGATTTTTTTCTTTTTACTTGGAAGTCTCACTAGAGGTTTCATCTTCTCAAGTTTAATTAGTTTGATCATTTGTTTTTAATTTAATTTGTTAATCTTAATTAATTTATTAGAAGTAAATTAATGTTATAA